GAGGGGGAGGGAAGGCGGATGCTTTTCCCGTCCCGCTGGTAGGAAGGCCTTGGAGGACGCGACGCTTCTGGAGCTGGACGCTCCTTTTCTATCCTGACGACCTTGAGGCCCCACAACAAGTATTGAGAAAGTTGGTCTTGAGCCCACACTGCATGGCCGCGAAGGAGATAACAGAATGCGGCCTGAGTTATTTGTTAGGAAGTTCTTTTAGGACGTGTGGTACTGCACGTTGTTCTTTTGCTTTCCTGAAGACCAAAAAAAAAAAAAAAAAAAAAGTAAAAGTATTAAATGAAAACCAAATAGAAGTGACCGTAAATCACGGGTACGCCTTCGCTTGTCAGTTACCTGGCTTTATTGTTTAACGTGCTGTTGAAATTGCCACAAGTTTCACTTGCGAAATCGAGAGGCAAGAGGAGAAGGTAACATTGGAGGATCGTTAGGTTAGTAAGTCAACCCCAGCCCTCCAGCCTGAAGACGGAGTTGGGTGGGATGTTTTGTGAAAGGGCGGGAAGAGCTAACGGACCAGGAACGCGATCTCACATTTTGACTTGCGTTTGGAGAAGCAAAACCCACATAGTTTTCATCTGCGGCAAGTACTGAACATGGCAATGTCCCGAAATTCTAAAATTAGTACTTTTTTTTCAGCCCCCATAGACAGTAGCTTGTAGTCTAGAAATCCCTGCTGTTTCTGCTTTAACCACCTGCAAATGAAACACTTGGATGAAAAGTTCTCTACGTAATGAAGCGTTACACTAGTACAGCACATTGTCTTACTAGCTAGGGTTTATCTCACTGGAGTGAACGTGCAATTCAGAAAAGCAATAATAAATAGAGGATAAATGTGATGAGGTGTACTAGCATAATTTTCTTAGTTTTCACTAAACAGGTTTTTAGAATAGACTTTTAAAAAATCGGTACAGCACTTTTTCATTTTTATGATTTCTAAATCATAGAATAAAGAATATAGTCATGCTAATTACTTAAAATAAAATAGAGAATTGTAAGAAGCAAGAAATATAAAGTTTTTTTCTACTTCTCCTGTTCCCCAGTGGTCATTATTAATAATTTGGTTACATACTGTTAATTGTTTTTTTGGGTCACATATTTTAAGGTTCCTATGAAGTACCTTAGGGAACCCTAGGTTGTATGAACTTGTTTGAGAACGGGTTTAGAATTTACCTTTAATGACTAGGCGTGCCTGTTAAAGTTTTACGGCCTTATTTTTCATTTTGAGAAATTGTTCAAGTAACACAACTACGTTTTAAAGTTAGTCTCAATTCTAAAACATTTCCCCAAGTTATCTTTGACGTTTTAGAAGCATATTCTCTAAGATCTATCAAGGGGGGAAAGTGAGGGGAAAGCTTTTATTTAAAAGAAAAATCTTTTAGTTGCCATAGCGTTGCAGTTCTCAGCACTGCTGCGCATTAGAATAACCTGGGGTTTTTTAAAAACCTGTGGATGCTTGGGACCCACCCACAGATTCTGATTTAATTCATTGAATGGTCAGGCAACAGTTTAAAAAATCCAAATCTAATTTTCTTACTAATTTATAATCAAATTTCCCTATAGGTGGTTGCTTATGTTTGAATTGGTTTGTTACTATATAGGAAGTATAATTTGTAATTCAATATTTGTATTAGAAGTTGATGCTCTTCATTGCAAATTTCTAAAAAAATGTTTTTTATTGCCATTTTGATTGTTAGAACAGGTTAGATCTATTTCACAGCTAAAGAATGTTAGAAATCAGGAAACAGGCTTAACTGGTATAGTAGGCAAATAAGCAAGTGATTAACTCTTCTTATGTCTTGAAATGATAAGGAATCTCAGGCAAATAAATACTGCCAAATAAGAAAGCCTTACTAAACTGGAACACATAATTAAAACCTTCAGGTAATGAGAATGATTTTAGTGATGGTCTCATTTTTAGGGAAAAGTCAAATAAGATGAATATTAACTCATTCTCTATTAAAAAGATGCCTAGCATCATTTTTAGATTCAGCTGCGTCTCTGTATTTCTGAATCTTCAATACTGTTTAGTCATAATTGATCTTCATAAATCATGAAGCACTCCAAAATTCTTAATTGATAAATGGTTTTGTTCAGCATTCTGTGCTAAAATAAAATATAAAGATTTTTTACAACAGATGAACTGAGAAAAAGCTTCTTCCAAAATCCTTTAATTAATCAAGATGTAAAATTTCCCCTGATATTGTTTAGTTGGGTTTAAGTAGTACTTTCACTGAAACAGCCTTAAAAATTTATGGGTATCTACCATCATACTCCTACCTTGAGACAAAGTAGAGCGCATAAAAGTACTTATTCATCATCACCACAAAGGAACCACACCCAGCAGTTCTAGAGTTGGCTGAGGGCTTGTACTTTCTCTTGTGATGATGTTTTCTCTGGCCTGGTCTGTGGATTGGGAGCTTTAAAAACTGCCCGCACGGACAAGGCATGAAAATGGTATGCTGTTTCTGAGTGTGTTGCTTTTTGACTAGCGAATGGATTTCAAAAGGAGAGTGGAAAACTCGGGTCATAACTTTACCCTGAGTCATGCACTCAGTGAAATGTTTCTAACTGAGTTAATTTGCTTTTCGGAGCTCATTGGACAGTAAGGATGGGCACTGCGGCTGGCTCCACCCCAGCTGATTTTGTAGAGAAAACCGAGACACAGAGAATAAAGTGGTTTATTCAGGCTGTTACATTCCGTGCACAACTGGGCCCCACACTCTGGTCTTTCCTGATTGTTGAGCAGGCCTTACTCCTATACCTATTGCCTCACTAGAATAACAACCTTTGCCAAATCATGGAAGGGAGGTATGACAGGATTTGATGGTGTATTGCATACAGGAAGATAGGGAAGATGTGGAGTCTGAACCAAGGAGATTTGAGAAGTGGATTAACTGAGGATTCATTTTGAAGACACTAAATGTAGATTTCTAAAATGTTAGTATTGGAAGGGTTGCTAGAGCTTAAATCTTGACTCATTTTTCTGTTGAGACTGAGACTAGACATGCCCAGAATCACACAGGTTGTTTGTGGTAGAACCGGAACAGGATCTGTGTCCTGACTCTTATGCCCATATATTTCTACATATTACTCCTTAGAGGTGATAGTGGAATATCCAGGTGAATCTGTCCCTTAGGCATTATGCCCATATATTTCTACATATTACTCCTTAGAGGTGGAATATCCAGGTGAATCTGTCCCTTAGGCAGTTGTACATTTGGACCCGAATGCAGGTTAGAAGTTAACGAAGTGGTATCACCAACATAGAGGGTGTAGTGAAATGATACACAGCTCATTGAGGGAGTGAATGAGAACTTCGAAAAGGATTGAAGCAGAGCCTTGGTGTATGTCATAGGAGGCTGGAAAGAAGAAAAAGAAGTGAAAGATGATAAAGAGGTTCGAAGAGAACTAGGAATGTACACTGTCACTGAGTCCGTAGATTTTAAGAAGTTTTAGAAGCGGGAGGCTGTTGTGTTTTGTCACAGAGAGAGAGGATTGAATGAGAATCAAGAAGGGCTGTCAAATTTGGCCAGAGTGGTCTTAAATAAACTGGAGAGGTTGAGAGGAAAATCAGATAGCAAGGTGCTAAGGGGAATGGTTCCATATGTAGATGAAGACATACCTTCAAGGAGTTTGACAATGAAAGAAAGACTGGGACGGGAAAGGGAAGAAACTGATCTTTATTGATGTTTACTATTGGGTTTAGTGTTCACAACACTAGGAAACTATTACCCTGCCTGTGTTAGGTACTGAGGCTGATGCCTCCTAGTTGCTCTACTCCTCAGGGGTTCCCAGTCTGGGTTGTAAATCAGAATTACAATATAATAATTGTGATGAGTAGAATAGCTAGGTACAAGGTTTTAGTGGAAATAGGAGAGTGGGTCTCCTTTATTAAGTCCCTAAAATGTGTCAATCACTGGGCTTTGAGGTGGGTATTAGATTTATAAATAAACGGAGCTTTAAGTGGTTAGAAATTTATCCATAGTCACATTGTGACTAAGGGTGGAGTTTATTTGTTTATTCCACAAATATTTATTGGCTGTCCATTATGTGTGGACACTGTTCCAGGATATTGGGGATATAGCACTGATCAAGAGACAAAAATTCTGCCCTAACCGGTTTGGCTCAGTGGATAGAGCGTCGGCCTGCGGACTGGGGGGTTCCAGGTTCGATTCCGGTCAAGGGCATGTACCTTGGTTGTAGGCACATCCCCAGTGGGAGGTGTGCAGGAGGCGGCTGATCGGTGTTTCTCTCTCATTGATGTTTCTAACTCTCTATCCCTCTCCCTTCCTCTCTGTAAAAAATCAATAAAATATATTAAAAAAAAAAAGAGACAAAAATTCTTACCCTCATGGAGCTTACATTCTCGGTGGGAGAAAGTAAGGATTTAAGCCCTGCCTTGTCTTGTCCAGAGCCTGTTTTCTCTTTAGTATGCAATATACTTAGGTGATGTGTCCTCTGAGGGTAGGCTGGGGAGATCAGGACAAAGGGAGGGTGAAGGTGAGTGTTGAAGGATGAACAGGTGTGTTTGTGGGGAGTGAAGAGGGGAGAAGCATTTTAGGCGGTGAGAACAAATGGTTGAGTAGGTTGAACACTGGAGGTTTAGGAATTAGGATAGTACCTGAATCCTAATGTTCTCCCAGTAGAAAGACCAACAAGAATACATTTGCCTGGGAGAATGAGGAGAATAAGAAGTTAGAGGAACTAAGGCAGTGGAGGGGTGGGGTTTTAGTTTCGAGTTGTCCATAAAATGTTTGTGGTAGCCTTTATGTAGTTGCTGTCATGATATGTTCATGTACTGTAATGAAGGAGTTCAGCCCTAAGGGACTGAGGTAACATCATCAAAGAAACACCTGGGGCCCCTCTTCCGGGGATGGTGACTTCAGGCATTTCCCATGGTCCAGCGTTGGACATGCCGTCAGAGGCTGCCTACAATACAGCCTCTAACAAAACTAGGCTGCCCCAAGCCCCTGGCAATAGAATTGCTTACCTTTATACCAAGAAGGTTGGGAAAGCACCAGAATCTCCATGTGGTGCGTGCCCAGGCCGACTTAGAGGATTTCATGCTGTGAGACCTACAGTTCTAATGAGGTTGTCTACAATGAAAAGACTTGTCAGAAGGCCCATGGTGGGGCCACGTGTGCTAAATGTGTCCAGGACAGGACCAAGCGTGCCTTCCTTACTGAGGAGCAGAAGATTGTTGTGAAAGTATTGAAGGCACAAGCAGAGTCAGAAAGCTAAATAAGTTAAAAAATGAAGTTTTTTTTGAGTAATAAAAGCAATTAAAAGGCAAAAAAAGAAAAAAAAGAAACACTTGTGGATGGTGACTTGGATAATCAACCTTATAGGCAAGAAATGTTGGAAGATGGCTGCTAAGCCAGTGGTCGGCAAACTGCGGCTCGCGAGCCACATGCGGCTCTTTGGCCCCTTGAGTGTGGCTCTTCCACAAAATACCACGTGCGGCCGTGCATGTACAGTGCGATTGAAGCTTTGTGGCCCATGCGCAGAAGTCGGTATTTTGTGGAAGAGCCACACGCAAGGGGCCAAAGAGCCGCATGTGGCTCGCGAGCCGCAGTTTGCCGACCACTGGCTTAGCCTAAGGGAATGGGCCCTAAAATTTGGATTAAGGGGTCTAAGGGATTGGGGAGTCTGAGCTGTGAGGATAAGTCAAAGGACATTCACATGACATCTGGAAAGAGATGAGTAGAAGTAAAGTTTTACTTGGCAGATCTGTAATATAGTCCCATTGTCCTAGAACAGTGATGGCGAACCTATGACATGCGTGTCAGAGGTGACACGCGAATTCATTTTTTTGGTTGATTTTTCTTTGTTAAATGGCATTTAAATATATAAAATAAATATCAAGAATATAAGTCTTTGTTTTACTATGGTTGCAAATATCAAAAAATTTCTATATGTGACACGGCACCAGAGTTAAGTTAGGGTTTTTCAAAATGCTGACACGCCGAGCTCAAAAGGTTCGCCATCACTGGGCTAGGTCCTACCTCTCTTGTTGCTCCAATATTCCTAGGGTGTTGCCCTCATGTGCCTGGTCCGGGATGACTCACTCTCACTTCTCCATCTAGCCAGCAGGAAGGGGGAAAATGCGTGACCTGGAAGTTGCTATATCATTTCCAGTCAGAATTTAGTCATGATGACACCCTAGCTGCAGGGTTGGTTTGGAAATGTGTTTCTTTTGGGCAGTTAATATGCCCAGCTAAAAATCTATTACCTAGCAGGAGGGAAAAACATATTGGGTGAGCAACCAGCTATCTCAGAGACTTTGGTACTGCTTTGAGCAGTTTATCCATAAGGTCTGAATAAATTGTTCTCATGGGCTCTTTTATATGAAACACTGAAGGTTTTTAAGTCCTGGATTCACCTGCTGTGTGGCAATAAGAAGAACCCTAAGAGATTATTCACAGAAATGTTTCCTTTCTTACCACCAATAATGGTAAAGAAAAGTATTAGTATACATTTATTACAACAATAGCATGACTTTTAATATATATATTTGTTTTCTAATAGTTTGTAAAAAATTAAAAAGTGCCAAGAACCCTTTTCTTGTTATGTGATAAAGTATAAAAAGTGAGCAGCAGTTCCGTAGCTTAAAGGGTAGATAGACTCTGGCAGTCGAGTGTTGTTGACTTTGGCTGCGCTATGATCATGCAGCCTTTTGTGTTTCCCAGACTAAAGTAATTTGGGGACCACTCTTATGAGTTTTGACCATATCTTCCTACCTGTGTATGCTTTACTTTATGTTTGTCCCTCAGTTTACTTTAAATGGATTCATTCTTTAAACTTAGCCTCCTTCTAAGCCATGATCCATTAAAACGTGGTTTTGTTTCCTAATATACATTAAAATGCATAATTATTAAAATAAAATCTCCTTTCAGCTGCCTAAAACATCTCTTAATATCAGTGGGATAGACTCTCACTTAGGGAAATAGTGCTTTGCTTCAGTTCTGAGCCCCACTGCTACTTTTTTGTAAACTTTCCACATATCCATAGCTATTAAGTAGCTTTGAATTTCCAGGAGTTATCTTTTTGCTTTCAACTCTGGTAGGGAAACTACTGATACTCAACCACCTGAGCCACACCAGCCAGGGCTGATATATTTGTCTTTTTCTTAGGGATTTTTATATTGATTCTGGATATGAGTTCTTTGGATATAGGTATTGTGATATTTTCTCCTATCCTATGGTTTGCATTTTTACTCTTGATGTCTTTTAATGAACAAAAATTATTGATTTTAATGAAGTCTAATTTGTCATTTTTTTTTATGGTTAGTGTTTTTGTACCTTAACTTCTTGCTTTTTCCTTGTTCAAAAATACATATTTAAAAATATGTTGAAACTAATGTTTTTCTCTGTAACAACATAGGTGATGCCATGGAGAGTGGAAAGCCTGGTCCAGTGCAAGTTGTTTTGGTTCAGAAAGACCAGCATTCCTTTGAGTTAGAAGAGAAAGCCTTGGCCAGCATCCTCCTGCAGGACCACATTCGAGACCTTGATGTGGTGGTGGTGTCAGTGGCTGGAGCCTTCCGAAAGGGCAAGTCTTTCCTTCTGGACTTTTTGCTCCGGTACTTGTATTTCCAGGTACGGTAGAATTACTTCATTTCAAATCAGAAAAGGAGAATTTATGTTCGAAAGAGCAAAATAAGTTCACGTGTTATTCTTGATGTTTAAAAGTACTCAAAATTTTAGGTTTAATGGAAATGTCTTATTTCTCCTGTAGAAAGAAGGTGGCCATTCAAATTGGTTAGGTGATTCAGAAGAACCGTTAACAGGATTTTCATGGAGAGGGGGCTCTGACCCAGACACTAATGGGATTCAGATCTGGAATGAAGTTTTCACTGTGGAAAAGCCAGATGGGAAGAAGGTAAGGAAGAAAAAGGCTTACATAATAAAACAACAAAATAAGAACTTTAATGCATATTTTGATGCTAGTAATCCAGTTAAAAATAATTTTTATTAGAATGATATGTTTATGGTTTAAAAATAACCCATGAATATAGTTTAAAAGGTCAAATAATAATATAAGGCTTCTAACAAAAAATAGTAAGCTACAGCCCTAGCCGATTTGGCTGAGTAGATAGAGCTTGGGCCTGCAGACTGAAGGGTCCCGGGTTCGATTCTGGCCAAGGGCACATACCTCAGTTGCAGGCTTCTCCCCGACCCGGGCCTTGGTCAACGCGCATGTAGGAGGCAACCAATTGATGTGTTTCTCTCGCATTGATATTTCTCTCTTTCCCTTTGTCTTCCACTCTCTCTAAAAATCAAAGGAAAAATATCCTCGGGTGAGGATTAAAAAATAATAGTAAGCTACAGTTGTAGAACCTATCCCCAAATTTATTTGTAAGGGTCAGGAGGGGCAAGTCATTTGTGTCTTAAAGTGGAAGAGGGGCTTTGGAAGTACCACTGGTTTTTTAACCTTTAACCCATTCCTTCCTAAAGCACATCTTCACAGCTGCTCATTTCTCTCATTTTTGAGTCTTTTTGGGATTTAAGGTTCCAAATCCCCTCTTCAGGTTGTTTAGTTGTAGCCTTTTCCTAAATGCTAAGTCATTCATTATTTTGGGGGCTGAAGAGCTGATGCACAACTCTTGATTGCTGTTTTTATATTTTCTATTCCTTTCCCTATGCATTTTCTTATTTTATTTCTCTATTTGAGTGAAGGTTTCAGGAGAAAGATATATTGGAAAACCCTTTTTTTTTTTTTAAATGTATAGATACACATACAAAAAATGTGTAGCACAATGAGGAGCTTATCACATTTTGTAAAGAAAGATAATCTAGGAGAATGAAGAGTTTTAACATTGAAATATAACAGTAACTTTTTTATAGAAGGAACTTTAGATATTATTTTATCCAACCTTTTAATTCTTTTAACAGCTTTATTGAATTATAATTGACATTTCATTCCTCCCTTCCTAGCTTTTGTGCTATTGTCACATATTTTACTTTAATATTGTTTTTATTTTAATTTTAATGGTTAGTTATCTTTTAAAGGTATTTAAATAATAAAAAGTCATATAGTTACCCATGTAGTTAGCATTAACTGTGCTCTTCATTTTCTGTGTGTCCGTATTTCCATTTTCTTGTCCACTTTTTTTCTTCTGTTTGAAGGACTACCTTTAGCATTTCTTATAGTGCTTTGCAGGTGCTGAAATCTTTTAACTTTCTTGTTTCTGAAAAATCTTTGTTTTAAAAAATATATATGCTGGGTATAGAAGTCCAGGCTGATAGGTTTTTCTTTCAGTGCTTTGAAGATGTCACTCCCCTGACTTTTTGCCATTGTTTCTGACGAGAAATCCTGCTGTTACCCTCAGGTGCCTAACGTCTTTTTTGTCTGCCTGCTTTAAAGGTTTTTCTCTATTATTTTCTTTTAGCAATTGGATTATAATGTGTCTTAGTGTAGTTCTCTTCATGTTTCTTGTATTTGGACCATGTTGAGCTTCTTGAATCTGCAGGTTTATAATTTTTATCAAAATCGGACATTTTCTGCACTCATTTTTTCAAATCTACTGGGGATGTGCCCGCAACCCAGGTACATGCCCTTGACCGGAATCGAACCCGGGACCCTTCAGTCCGAAGGCCCACGCTCTATCCACTGAGCCAAACCGGTTTCGGCTGCACTCATTTTTTCAAATATAATTTTGCCTCATATCCTTTGGGGACTTACATTACATATATGTCAGGCTGCTTGAAGTTGTCTCATGGCTTGTTTTTATTTTAATTCTTATTTTTCTGTTTCCTTTTTTTTTGTTAATCCTCACCTGAAGATATTTTTCCATTGATTTTTTTTTTTTTTTTTTTTTTATTCAAAAG